GGCTTTCAAATAACTGGTGTTTCTAACGGTTGAACCCCGCACAAAGGAAGAGAAAAGAAATAGGACGCAAGTCTCGTTTCCATTCCCCAGTTGCATTAAGTGGAGACCCGAGCCAGAAGTCTTGGTGAAGAGACCTCCAGAAGACTTTTCCCCCCACTCAAGTCGTTTTGGGTAAGTAGGTTGCAGAGAAATGGATTTTGAACGTGTGCCAAGACGTAGCTGAGAGCGAACTGGGTGATAAGATGCTCCTCATTCCTTGGCAGAAGCGCCGATGGGGGTGTGAGGAGGAACCCTGTTCAGGGGAAGAATGTCTCAGGTGCCTAATAGAATTCTAGAATTGGCAAGACAATGGGCAGCAGCGCAGAGGTCACAGAAGAGAGCGGTGGGTGGGTTTTCAGCCGGTGCCGCTCTTGTGTAACAGTTTACCTCCGGCCTGTGTGCTAGGCAGTAGTGAGGCGTGCCGCGGTGTAAACTAGCTGCCTTGCCTCCAAGGACCGCTGCGTGATTAAATAGGTTTCCATGCAGTCGCGTTGTCAGAAGGGCCTTTTAGGTAAGGCCGCTCTCAGAGCAGGAAGGAAGCCTGCTGGTGAACAGCAGGGAAGTGGTTTGTGAAAGAGATTCTGAGCAGGAGCAGAGTGAGTAAGCCTGTTAGTGAAACACCAAGAAAAATCATCCTTTTTCTAGGTTCCTGGAACAACAGGGGAATGGCTGCCATGGCAGGACAAGAAAGTGAAACCCAACTGTGCAGCAATTGGTAAGACAGAAGGGCTGGAAACTGAAAGTTTATGTTTGCCAGTTGTGTGTGTTATATACTGGTTGGGTTTGGAAGTCTCATTTGTGTTCTCAAATCTGCTGCCTCTATTTGGACAAGAAATCCCAAAATAAATTATCTGTGCCCCCTTTCCCACTGTGACTCAGGGATGGAATTATTATTATGGTACAGATGAGGCATCTGAGACAGATCCTAGACCAGAAGGACTAGAGGTTGGCTTCAAGTCACTGGAGGCCTTTGTTTCCAAGCCCTGTTGGTTCTGAGACTGAAAAGGGGTACTTTTCTTCCAGATCAAATTACTTTCACTTTGTACTGCATTGCTGTGCCTTCTGTACTATGTTAAACACTTGGACCCTCCTTGTTTCTTGCTCATTTTGCAAAAGGAACATGGATAGCTTCTTTTTTGTTTTTAAGAGACTTGGCAAGGAGGGCACACATTTTTGAGGGAAGGGAATTCTCCTCTTCTCCAGGAAGTAGTAGTCCTGTCATCACCCTATACAGGCGGGGATCTGGATATCCTGCACGGTACTTCATATTATGACCCAAGAAAACCCAAAGTGCGAAAGCTTTTTAAATGAGATGAACATGCCATTTTCAGTCCCATTGAGTTCATTGGGTTGAACCACTCAAGCCTGTGCTTTTCAGATTGCAGAAGGGAGATGAATTTTAAAAAATGTGGCAGGCTTTTGGAACCGTTTCTGTTTGTCCCAATGCCCCTTTTTTTATAAGTTTGGTATTGCAACACATTCTGTACATGTTCCTCTTACAGTCAGAAAGATATTCCTCTGGCAAACTTTACCATCCATGAAATTCACTGTAGTCGGAACATTGGGATCTGTCCCGTCTGCAAGGAGTCCTTCCCAAAAGCAGAAATGAGGACTCATCAGGAGCAAGAGCACGCACAGGTAAAATAATCAGGCTGCCTCCTCTTCTTCTACCTGTTCCCCCGGCATATCTTCTCCATATGAGGCAGATTTAATTCTGCAAACTTTATTCTGATCTGTGCATTTCTTTTAAATTCTAGATTGTCTGTAAATGCAGCATGAGAATGGACAGAGGTCTCTTGCAGGATCATGTAGTGAGTAAGCCAATCATTGCCTGATTTTGTCCAGTGAAATATTGTGGGGGGACAGAAAGCTCCCTATAAGGTGGTGGAATGTACTCCTGAGTCAGACGCATAAAATAGTCACTTACGTTCACAACATTTAGCGCAAAAGAGAATGCTTCTTAAATAATACAGAGCATGACCTGAGTACCACAATACAGGAAAGTGAACATCAGAAATGTAGTGGCACCAACCACCCTAAATAAATATTCTGCGTTGTTATCATAAGATAATACTTTATCTTACCATGCTCATTTAATTTTTTGAGATGTTCTTTGGCACGTTTTGAGTGTGAGATTAATTTTGTTGATTGAGAAGAATTCTGTGTACTTCCTCATCCACGTTAGCTGGAACTATCTGTTTCTGAAACAGCAGAGATTGGTACGTTTGATGGTATATGTTTAGCTTGAAGAAGAGAAGGCTAAGGGGTCGGGGAAGACTTGGTAGCAAAACTTCAAATACTTGAAGGGCTGACCCAGGGCAGAGTGGGTGGAGCCACAAGAACCAGGGTGGAGGCTTTCCAGAGAGAGATCCCACCTTAGAGTAAGGGGCTTTTTATTGTGTTTGGGGGGTTATTGTTTATCCTTGGGCACCAGGGATTATATGTTGTGGTTTCTTGTGTTTTTAATTCTTGTATGCCACCCAGAGCCACCGGGGTGCGATGGGCAGCCATATAAATCAAATCATTACTAAGCAGAGGAACAGCCTCCCTCCTGAAGTCATGGGGGCTCATCCCTGGAGGGTTTTGGGCAGCCCTTTGTCTGGGATGGTCTGAGGGTTCCTGCCTTGGGCCGGGGTTGGACGGGATGGCCTCCAAGGTCCCTTCTGCCCCTTGGATCCTGTGAACCTGATTACTGTGATCAACTGGTGCCTTCCTTCACGAAACGTGACCTTGAGGAATAGCGCCTGGAGGCCCCGGCAGCCCTTCTCAAGACACCAGCTCTAGGGCCCTAAATCCTCAGACTGGTTCCTGCTTTTCAGGCTTCTGTCCCAGGACGGCTGAGACAAGCTGTTTCTGCCTTTTCCTTGCAGGCTTCGGAGTGTCCCTTGCGGCCTGTTGCTTGTCAGCACTGTGACATTGAGCTTACCTTCAGCAAGCTCCAGGACCATGAAGATTATTGTGGTGCCCGGACCGAGCGATGCAGCAGGTGCAACCGCAACGTCATGCTGCGAGAACTGAAAGCGCATCCCAACGACTGTGGAAAGAAGGCCGAGAGAGAGCCAGTTGGCCAGGCTAGGCCTTGTTTCAACTCCGAGGCCGCTTTGCGTAACATTCAGACTGTCAGGAATGTCCTGCGGCCCGATTCCTCTAGAGAGTCGCCCTTGAGGGGCAGCAGGTTCCTGGAGAGCCAGTTGCAGAGTTGTGTCTCGGGTGAGCAGCTGCCCAGGGAATCCAACTGGAGGAGCAGAGTTCCATCACCACCGGATCTGAATCGAGGTAAAGGCTTTGAATGGGGACTGCCCCGAGAGCCTGTCCTTTTTCTCCTTGAGGGTTCAGAGAGATGCCACTCCCATAAATGGGTCCTCTTGCCTGAAATACGCCTCTTGAACTAAGAGCGCGAGGACTCCCTTTGCAAAGGCCTCGCGAGCAGGCCTGTCCCTTTGTGTTTGTGTTGCTGTGCAGCCATGATGGGATGAAGCGCTGCAGGTTTGTTTCTAACGCTGTTCCGTGTTGGTTCCCTGAAGCCCATCTGGAAAAGGCAACCACTCCGCTGCCTGTGGATGGAGAGTCAGACTACAACTTGGATTACCTGCTGGCTATTAGCTTGCAGCACGAAAACAGCTTTGGTCAGCCCAGCGTGGCAGAGCTCCACAGAGAACTCTGGAAGAATATCTGTCCCCCGCAAACCAGACCAACCGACGACTTTGGCGAAGCAAAGAACTCCAGCGACTTCTCTCGAGATTTGCTGGTAGCAGCTAACATCCTGAACAGGCCCAAAAGTACGTCAGTATTTCCTGTTGTCGATCGTGGGAGTGGTGGGCACGTTGTAGAAGGAAACTGAGCGGCTGATTCTCTTGCCGTAGCGGTTCCAGGACCGCAGGCATTTGTAGGAAAAGGGCTGTAAGTAATGCAGCAGTGAAGGAGGAAGTAGTGAGTAGCAACTCCTCTGGGGCTGCTGCAGAGGGAGATGGGAACGAGCGTCTCATTGGCTCCATTGACCAACCTGTCAGTTGGCCTCCTCCTTTCCTGGAACTGTTTTCATTCTAGCTGGTCATTATGAGTATTACAGGATACCATGTAAACATTGCTGCCTCAGCTCTTTTCATCTTCCCTCTCCTTTTTTTTTAACTTTGTATGCTGTGTCATTTAGGGGAAAAAGCGGGGGGAGTTCAGACTGTCTTGTTTGTGCTCAATTTGTCTAAGTTGCTCTGGGTTTTTTGACTGAAGAGCAATATAAACCTGCTCTAAGCAAGTAACTTTAAGTGGCTAACTATACTTGGCAGAGGAGTTGCGTATTAACTAACCTGATAGAGAAGAATTTTGAAGGCAGCGATGACAGCTTGACGGGCCTCGTTGTGAGTTGTGCCATTGCATCTCTTTTATCTTTCAGCCGAGACCCTGCTGCCTTGCGAATTCTGTGAGGAGCTGTACCCTGAGGGAGATCTGATCCTTCACCAGGTAGGCTGCCTGTTCTTTTGGTGCCAAGAGAAGGGGGAAGCTGCAGGCTTTTCCCCCTCAGTACCATAATTAAAGCATTGAAGTTCTGGGCTGTGCAGTGCTTGGCCTTCCCATTTCAGAAGATGTTTCAGAATCCGCAGGGGCACAAACGCAGCCCCTGTCTTTAAAGCACCCGCGGCTTGTCCTGGGATTACATACTGCACAGCCCTGCAGAGGAAGATGGGAACAAAAATGCTTAACTTGTGCGGCCCCCCATGAGTTTAAGAACAGAAGCTGCACTCCTTTTAGAGGCTGAGGATAGCAAGCCATGTTTTTCTTACTGGTCCACGTTTATTTACATCCTAATGTTTGTGGAGGGTTTGTTTTAAGGATCTGTCAGTTGCCGTGCTTGAAATGCAGTCATCCATTTAACGATGGCAGACTGCAGTGGCTCATGGGAATGGGGTGGGAACAAAGCCAGAGAAGAGCAAGAGGGGCTGCAATTGGTGAAATGCCACCCCATCTCCCCCCTGACCCCATTCAACTCTGCCCTTGCTAGCTGCCTCTAAATTGCCCCTCGCTGTCTGAAGTAGTTTTAAGAGAAGAGAACAACATGCTTCTTTTTCCGCCTTGCTTGTAACAGACTGGCTGCAACCCAGCAAGTGCTTTGGCCTCCTTCAGCAAGAGGAGCAACGTGGTCCCACCGGCAGAATGTCTTAGCAGCCTGTGGGGACAGCTGCATGGTGGACATCCTATTGGCAGCGGAGAGACCTTGCCCTTCCAGCATGACATCCAAGACAGCCTCATGCTCCCTTGTGAATTCTGTGGGGTCCAACTTGAGGAAGAGATACTGTTCCACCACCAGGTACAGAAAGTCATAAAGCCCCTCTGGAGCACACTTGGCTCTGTGATGATGGGGGGGTGGTCATTGGCAAATCAGCTCACTTCCCTAGATGGGCAGTGACTGGCAGCCCTTTCCCTCAATCCAGGACCAGTGTGATTTGCGCCCAGCGACTGCCCCCTCAACAGGAAGAACGTTTGTGCAGTCAGGGGCTCCAGCCCTGGAAAGTTCTGCGGGAACCAAGTCCCCTGATCTTCCCAGAAGATGCAGCCGGCACCAAGGTATTCCCACTGGTTCTTGGTGGATGCCAAAGCAGAGACTCTGGAGAGCAGATTAGACCCTTCTGTGCTTCCATAAAGGAGGATAGTTCTGAGCATGACCCATGAATAGGTGTCTCCTTTTCATCAAAACTGGGCAGTAGGGAAGTGGCAGGGAGTGCTAATTTGTGTTTTCCAGTCCTTTAGCCTCCTCCTGGAATGCTGGAATTTGGACCATGGGTTCAGATCATGGGTTCAGGCACTCAACTCGGGGGTCATCTCTGCCCCTCACTGTCCCTGTTATGTCTTCCCTCTGCTCCCTTCTGCTTCAGGTGAGATCTCCCCTCAATATCTTGACCAGCTCAAGCAGAAGAAGCCTTTTCAGCCTGCTCAGAAGAGCCAGTCCCAGGGCAGCTTGGTGGCTGCCAGACACATTCAGTTGGCCTCTCCCGGCAACAGGAGAGAGGATCCGGTTGCGCTCCCCAAGGGATGGAAGCCCAAACCGCTGGGAGGCGGCGAAGGGAGAACACCAGGCCGAGGCCCAGGTGACCCTGCGGAGGCCTCTCTGCCCGTCAGACGCTCTTCCCTAGACTTTCCTCCCAGCAGCTACATCCCAAGCTTCCCTGTTACACTTCCAACTCGCCCAAGGTAGAGTTTCCTGGAGCTACAAGCCAGCTTTCTGAGTTTCAGTTGATAGTAGAATTAGAGTCTTCTTGGTGGCGGTGACTTCTGCAAATCTGGCCTGCTCCATGCTACAGGGGATGGGGGTGGGTGGGAGGTTCTGCTCTTTATCTTGAGCCTGCTGGCGCTACCTGGAACAGGAGAGCGTGCTGTTTCCATGGAAGACGCTTTAAAAGAACCTGAAGAGAAGTTTTGTTTGCTTGGGGTTTGCTGGATGACTTTTGTTTAGTTGCTTTTCCATTCGTTGAGGACTTTAATGTGATTTTGGGAAACTGAAATCTGAAAAGCAGGATAGGTATCCCTTGAATCAATTAAGAAACTGGCTAGCTATGAAGTTTCAGATTTCAACCATCGCTCTGTTTTTTCTCCTTCAGCGTAAGACAGGAACGAGGACAGAGTCCTACAGGTCCCCCCCGTTTCAATAACTCTAAGGTAAGGGCTGCCATTCGCTGATGGGCTCTTGGGCAAGGTTTTGAAGAATAATTCTGCAGTAGATGCTGAATTCTTTGTAAAAATTGCATCAATCATCACTTGAGCAAAGATACCTCAGTGAAATTTCATGTATTTCATATATTTGGAACCACGTTCTTAGAAAAGTCTACTTTGCATTTCGATGGCATGCTGTCTGTCTCAACTGGTGCCAGCAGGAAAGGGGCATTTCTCCATTTATGCTTGAAGAGTGAATGCGTCAAGATTTCTTGCCACTAGTGATTTTACTCAAACGTGCACTTGTAGGGTGCTTTTCTCAATCAGTCATTGCACAGTTTTCTTACTGTGAAATCTCTGAATCACAAGGAAATGAAGAAACCCCGTGTCTTGTCTCTGAAAGTCTTTCTCAGCCACGCCCTCTAAAGGTCTTTAAGCACTTCTGTCCTGCTTCCAAATATTGCAATAGTGGCAGGAGCTAGAAACATGTTAGTTTTTAAAGCATCCGGCTCACAGCTGTTTAAATCCAGATCTTCTCTTTCCCCTTCCTGAGCAAAGCCTCTGGCTTTTTTCCCCACAGGCAAAACCGTGGCAAACGAAATCAGCCAATCCTGATAGTGAGTGAGGGGGAAGCGTTTGGGGCTGCCTTTTCCTGCATTTCTCCCAGCACAAGGACTTGGTTTCATGACGTGATTTTCGCAGGAGCTGTGGGACTGGCCTTCCGCACCTTCCGATCACGGACGCAGCAGCAGGATCCTGTGATTGCTTTGCCAATTGTACAATGTTTTGATGCTGGTGGGATGGGCACAGGACTGTGTGGGGCCCGGCCCCATTGCTTCTCTTGAGGACCGAGTCATTTCGGACTCTGCTTGGAGTGCGCAAAACTTTATTCAAGGGCAGACGCTTCCTCTTTTCATGACGTAAAGTGTAGAGAAACCGCCACCGCCACCCCAGCGCCCAGGGAATAAGAAGGCTGGTAGCTGCTGAGTTTGAACTCCGTGCCTTGCTGTGAGGAGTTTTTCTCCCTGCGCTCAGCCACCTCTTTCTTTTCCTAGTCCAGTTTTTCAGCCAGTGTGAAAAGGAGGGAAAGGTCCTCACGGGGATTCCTCTTGGTGTCGGTATCACGGCCTGTAAGGCTTGATACCCCAGCCTTGAAAGCTGAAATGACTTAAAAGCGGTCATGACTTGTGAGTAGCCAGGCTTTTCTAGGCTGACGGTGGTGTGGTGTGGTGTGGTGTGGTGTGGTGGAGGCTTTTAAATTTCTTACAATAAACTTTGTATCTATTAGTAATTCCTGTCTTATGTTCATAGCACCTCTAGGCCGTTCGTTAATTAGGCTCCTGCAACATGCTAAGACTGCAGCTTACTAAATAACTGATGTGGCTGCCTTGGCACGCTGTGTGAATCCAGCAGAAACAGATGCGTGGATTTAGGACTGCTGCAGGTCCTCCAATTAATTGCGCTAATCTGCTTCCGGCTGCCCTAAAAAAAAATGTCGGCCCCTTTGCACATTTTATTCCCGCCTGTTGTCCAGCCCTAACTCCTGAGACCAGGCCAAGAACAAATCTGTTTTAAGGACACTTCCACCCAATGTAAGCATTTATTAAATACAAGAAAAGCCAAAGAATTCTTAAAAACAAGTGGAACCAACCTTGCGGTGTTCTTTCCAAGGGCAAAGTACTATCATGTGTTTACAGAGACAAGCTATGGTTGTTGTTTTTTTAAGTATTCTTGAGGAGAGGCAACAGTTCGAGGGAGAGACCATTGTGGTAGAATCGAGGTGTGAAAAGCAGCAAATAAATTAACAAAAGAATGGCAAACACGCACTTGTCAGCTGAGCAGCCGATCTCCCCTAGGCAGAAGGAAATGCGGAGTCCTCCGTGCCCAAGAAAGCGACAGCCCTTGGCTCACATTTCCCTTTCATACAAAATATTTACACATTTGCTTAAGTAAATATAAATAAAAAAATACAGTGCATTAAACCTCTCCCAAAGTGGCCTGGAGCAGGCAGCCTGTGGTTCTTCATCTCAAGGAGCTGGACCGCGTCTTGGTGCCTTGAAAGCTTCAGGGCTTCTGTTTCCCAGCCAAAGGCTAAGGAGCGCATTCAGGAAGCAGAAATTCCCTGTGGCCCAGAGGCTTCATCCCTGCCCAAAAGCACTTCAACGGGTTAATCATGGATAATAAATATCAGAATGGATACTGAACATAAGCTCAAACTGAAATGCCTCTGTGTTCTCTGCTGTCTTCAGGAACAGCTTTTACATTCAGAACAACTATTCAAGTTAAAGAAAACTCACAGTCCCAGGTTCAGTAGCAAGCAGCAGCCTTACTGCAGGCCATAAGCAGTAGCCGTACAGTGAACCAAAATAGACCTGACAGACTCTGGAACTCCAGACCGATTTCTTTCACAGTTTGCTCAGTCTCACTGAGTAGCTTCCTTCAGCTTGCCCTGGCCTGCTCTTCCAAAGGAATCCACCATGCAGAGGAAAGGTGTAAGATCTGGACACACAAGTTCCCCCAAAGAAGCTCCATTTACAGTGAGTGGGGTGTAAACACCATAGAAGACCATTTGTTTTCTTAAATGCAACCATAAATAATTAGAATAAATATACACCAAGTCACTTTACAGCACACACACTTCTGGGCCAAAACGTGGATACTCTGGATACCCTGCCGGTCTCTAGGAGGGAGAGGGAGCATCAGCATCCACTTATGTTCGCAGCTGGCGATGTGGCAACTGAAAGGTATCCGTGAGGTATTTGAACAAGAAGTCCCCTTGGGAGAAACTGGGTGTTTCAGATCCACAAGCCACCAGATCCCTGGAAAGCACGCCTGCCGGTCCTGCACAGCCCAGCGTGGTCTTTGTGGATGGAACCAAGTCAGCTCGATCCCTTTGTTCTAGCTGGGTTGGTCTTGGGCGCTCGTAAATGTGCCATACCACATCTCCCTTTAGTCTGACTATGCGGGCCCACCTCAGCCAGAAGATGGGCCAGGCTCAAGGGTGAAGAGGGATGCTAAGCAAGGGTTAAGATGGAGCCTTTCCATGTCAACTCCTTGCTCTAAAAACAGTCACGCATCTTCCCAATCATCCCCAACCTCCATCCGCACGTCACACAGGCCAAATAATTAACAGTATTCACAGTAATATACACTAAATACAGCTCTTCCGTTGCTACGGACAAGCAAAACTCTTCAGAATCTCCTCTCCCGGCAGCCTTTAGATTACAGCTTGCAATGTCGTGGCTTCCGCAGGGAAGAAAGCAAGCTGTGGGCGCTGCTGGCATTCACATCTCCTGGATAGCACCAAGCCAAGCTGGGCTGTCTGAGGCCCTTTGGAGACTCGGATTGGAGGGCAACCCCAAAATGGCTTGATCCAATACTATTTTTGTTAGATGTTTAGGACACCCTAGCCAAGAAAAAAAACCATGTGCGTGCTCGATGTGTCACTCAAAAGCAGGGTGCATCTGGCAAGGACGCCAGTAGTGTGCGAGTCTCAAGAGTTACTCTGAAAACTCTTAACTGAAATAAAAACACAGAAACCAGAAAGCCACGTGGATCCTCTCTGCCTTTTGCTAAGGAAGAACCCAGGATCCTCCTCCCTAAAGTCACGTTTCCCCCCCGCTTCCATCTAATTGCAACATGCCAACGGTACTCTCAGAAGGACCATTTCTGAGTGCAAGGCAGACCTTTGGGGTCAGTTGGATTTGAGCCAATTAACTGGATGATCATTCCAACAGTAAGAAAGGCACCCCCCCGACTCTTTAGATCATTACAATTTAGGCTTTATGCAACCATGAAGCAATAGTTATTTTATCATTGTACAGTGGAATGTATGAAGTTACCACCTTCAGTTCCAACCCTGGCAAAAAGTGAAAAATGTTAGTTCTTGTCTAGTTATGCCTCAATTACAGAAAACAAGTGTGGTTGCCTCACTGATGCACTCAGAAATGGTGGTGGGAGGATCACCACCTCGCAAGCCTGATCACTGAATTTCCACTCAGCCATTAGCACTCTTCTAATTAGGAAGAAAAGTAAGGATCCCCAGGTTTGCGAACATCAGTCCATGTACTAACTTTTCTATAAGGCAGCAAAGACACTCCATCCACCACAGAAGTCTACAAAGAGGAAATGGAAGTCTTCTACAACCACCGTTGCAAGAACAAAGGTGAGGACAGAATTCACCTTCTGCTCTTGCTTTGTCACGGCCAGACTCCTCAGGTGCGTCCTCTGAAGGGCCTTCCCTTGAGGCGGAGCAGGTCAACCGCTGAGAGGGTCCTCACGATAGTGGATAGCGTACCGAAGCTTTTCCAACATGATCTCTAACGAGGAATACTGAGGGAGTTTGATCATGAACATGCAGGTCTCAACACGGATATATCGCGAATCTGGGGAACCTGTCAGGATCACAGAAAGGGGAGAGACTCAGCGTGCAAGAAGGGAGCTTTATTTTCCTGACGGATCTCTGGTGCCTTGAGATACAATTCTAATTCTTATTCCCTTCTGTGTCTCTTGGCGATCTGATTTCAGATAGGCATGGCTACTCAAGGATGAAACAGCTGGGTAAGGGGTCTCTGAAATGGGAGCCCAAGGAAGGCAGGTACTGATATCTGACGGGGCAGAGCAGGACGTGTCCTTCAACGCAAACAGGTTCTGTTAATATCTGAGCAGAGATTAAGCTGCTAAGATTGGGCCAAAGGCCCACAGGCCTAGTCCCTCCATCTGCTCCCACAGCTGTCAACTGGAAGCACCATCCCACTTAAGTCCTCTAGCCACTCTCCTTGAGAGCCCCCTGCCTCAGATATTACTGCAGGCAACATGGACTAACAGTGGGACAGAGGGAGAGAAGCATGACTTAACTGCCTGAAAACACTAGTTCCCAGGTTTGGGCTGCCATGTTTTCCTGTTATTTTTGTTTCTCTTGGGTTATAAACATTTATTTCAAATTACAAACTGCCAAGGAAGGACAAAGTGAACCAAAGTCACATTGATACACTACACCAAGCAGGATTTAACTCCCACTTGCTTAATTGTTACAAGAGCCAAACAGACATTGGATCAATCAAACACCGCTGTTTGGCTCAACCCTCCCGTCTTCTTTCAGTTGAAAGACCCCCCCTCGGGTCAGTTCTGCGCCCAGGAAACAACTTTACCTGCAGTGCCATCTGGGGGTGCAATTTTCATGGGGTATGGCGGCACATGTGCTGTATCTGGCCCCCCATCCTTACAGGGACACGTGAAGGGGATGCGCTCCTGGTTACAGGCGAACTTGATGAATTTGCAGAGCTCCTCCTGAGTGAACATCTCCAATGCTCCCCAGAAAAATTCAATGTGCTGGTCAGTCTCCATTAGCCCAACTTGGTACATAGTGTGTGCCTGTTTATAGCCATGTATGAAAGACAGAAGGGGGCAAGGAAAGGAAGGGAAGGGAAGGGAAGAAATCTAGTTATATACCAAAGACTCAAGTTACACACCCTAAATGCACTCTAAACCACCTTGAGCTCCAAAATGTAAAGGTTTTCTGTTTCTATTCAACTTGGGTGGATTTAAGTTTTCTCCACTGTGGGCTATACCTAAGCTAGTTCTCGTTTTTGTCTCTACTCTCCTGCTACTGACTTGCAGTGATTAAAGACTAATGGGAGGAAAGGAGGATGAACAGCTGCTGCTTTCTCAAGGGCATAAAAGCAGGGTCTTCCCAAACGCTGTAGGAAACTCCCCAGTTTCTGCCAGCCTCCTGCCTCTCATCTGGTTGGAAGCCCTTGAATTACCTTGAGGAACTCCAGGTTGATGTAGGGGAGTCCACAAGTTCTCAGCTCCATCTCCACGGGTGTCAGTAAGGTCAAAACCTGCAATGGGATAATCGAGGCCAAGCCAGCCCTCACAGCCATCACACACTCTGGAGTCTGCAGCTCGTGTAACCTCAGATTCCGAATGGCTGTCGCATAGACATCCTTGTTCTCCCATCTAAGAGGAAAGATGCATTCGGATATCCATGAAGAGGGAAACCCTTGTTGGCTTGTCTCCCGTTTAACCCTAATGCTTCTCCCTTCCACTCTGTTTGGTACCTTCAACGGGTATCGGGGAGGGGGCTGTTGCTGCTTGTGTTGAGCCTTGCAACCCTGACCCATAGAGAGAGGCCCAGATCCACGTCAAGGCTTCGCAATGCTATACTTCGATGGCCTTCAGAGCTGCATTACGTGAAAGCCCAGGCCCGCTGCTTCGGGGGCCTGTGGCCTGAAGACCGCCATTCATCACAGAGCTTCTGCTACTCACACGACAGGGATGTGCCTGCCTCTGGCGCACAGCTCCACCTCTTCTCCCGTCATTGTCACATAGGTGAACTTGCAGCTGGGCTTACTGGGACAGTCCGGGCTCTCCATTGCAAGGTGCTGGGAAGCGATTTCAGCACAGAGGGCCTCCAGCTCAGTCTCATCATTAAGCTAGGACAGCAGAGACACACGTGAGGGGGCAGGTGGGCTGAGCCGGAGGAACGCACAGCCAGTGCCGCAAGGAAGACTGTGCTGCTCTGCGGAGCTCTCTGGTTCCTTTCACTGATGGGAGCAAGACCGCCCACCAGCTGCTGGATAAGAAGCCAGATGCTGGGGAAGCCCAGCTGAGCTTTGCTTCCTGAAGAAAATCTTGTTCAAAGAGGCCAACACTGCCAGCAAAGTGAGAAGCCACGCCGCCTCCTCCCCTGCCAATCATCTACCAGCCCAACAGCTATTCCCAACTTGCCACCCTCCTCCTCCTCAAAATGAACCGTACACGTCATTACGTGGATCTATTTAAAAAGATGCTCTTTTGCATGAAAGCCCCAGCCGCTGAGTTAGCAGGATGAAGCAGCATTCAGCCTGCATGAGAATCCTAAGCAGCAGGTGCATGTGAGAGATTCTTCAGGGAATGCAGCTGCGGGAAACAGGCCTGAGTAATAACCAGCCACGTGCTTTACAGAATGAGCAACAAATAGCTAGTTAAAACCAAAATGGACCTCAGGATGCCCAGGCACCTGAAAACATCCCACAACCCATGTCAGTGTGGGTCGAGTAGTTATCAAGATGGGGAACATGCCAAGAGAGGCTGTGCTTTGAAGATTGGGATTTCTTTGCTACGACAAGGGCATTATGTGCCTGTGTGAATTCAGTATATTTGACACTGTAGTTATTAATAAATTAAACAAAATGCCCTAGGACAAAGCCAATTTAAATGAAATAGACTTTTTAATTTATTTCTCTTTTTTTGCTTCCGCAGACTCTGAATACTGAGAGGCCTTGCAATTTAAGACCAAGCTTATGAATTGGTAAATTGGGTAAGTGACACAAGGACGATCGTAGATGTACTTAAGGATTTTCCTGCCTATACAGCGTTTACAACATCCCATCAAGGCTGGGAAAGGGGAATTGGCACCATTAAAGACTTACGTTTTCAAATTTTTTGACATAATTGTAGGTTAATACATCAGCCTCCTGGAGGTCAACATCTGGATCCAGTGGTTCTCCTACCAAGATCTTCCAGAAGGAGGGCAGGAGATCCAGAGGCAGAGGGACATCAGCCCGAATGGCAATCCCCAGGAGTTGCCCAAAGAAGTGTAGCAGCTGTTCCTCCCCATAGCTGATGGGGCTGGGCGTCAAAATATATTTGCCCTGAGGATGAAAAACAGCATTGGCTTGGAAGCCAAAATCTCCTGAGGAATTAAGGTTTGCTTAGTTAATTGGTAAGTCTGTCCTGCCCTGATGCTCATGGAAAACTTTTCACGTCCCTCTGCCACAAGAAGGCTAACAGGGAGAAGGCCAATTGGCTGCAGCTTCCCAAACAACCATGGAGCTCTGTAGGACCCGCATGCTCTCTGGCATACCTTGTTCTTATTGACTGCTGAGCTTGGACAGAGCAAAAGGAGGGACAGCAATGAACTCTGGAGTTCCTTACAGACCTGCCAAAGAAAGTGACGGAAAGATCCACCTGGAAGAAACAGAGATGACACCAGTCACAATGCGTTTCTTTTAAAAAGTTTTTTTTTAACCAAAAGCTTTTTTAGTCCAATATTCAGTTCCTACAATGGCCTAGAAGATGTCGCAGAATCCAGAAGCAAGATGTAAGTACAATAATACCTTCCTTCTGTGGTTCCCCCATGACCAATGAACTTCATCAACCAACCAGTTCTGATCCCAGCCTTCTGAACAGCTCACTCAACTTATCCACCGGCTATTTTTTACATTCTTTTGGGCCCACCATATTTTACAGGGCTGTTGAGATTAATTGGGGAAAAAAACAGCAGAACTCTTTATACACTAAGAAGGAAAAGAAATGAACGCTTATTTTAGGAGAACATGCGGGACAAGCGTCCCCACTGCAACGTACAGGCGGAATTCCTGGCATCTGCTCCTAACATTTTGAGCAGCGAGCCACCTCAAGAGCCAGCTGCTTACTTGTGCCATGAACCTCCTCGCCAGTGAAGCGAATGTTGAAGGCGTAAGTGGGGTCTCCTCCACTGGCCAATTTCACACAGAGCTGTGAGGACGGGACGCAAGCCAGTTGCCGGGCAGCCTGGCAGAAATAGGAATTTTCTGAAGAACGAATCTCTCCTGTTGGAGAGGAGCAGAAAGAAAAGGGTCGCTGAAAACCGGTGGTCTACGGGTGTGAAATTCTGATCCCATCTTACCCCACCCAGCTAAGGAGGAAGAGAGAAAGAAGGGTACTCCCACTGAAGTACCTCCCACTATTTCGAGGGGGTCCAAGGTGATCTCTGGGGCTGCATGATCAGCTGTTCTTTGCACTGTGGCATTTAGCACTCGATTCAAGACCGTCACTTTCGTGTCATAAAAAATCAGTCCTGAAGGAATAAAGCCAACATCACAGTCCTTCCATAAGGAACGACGTAACAATCCAAATTATTTCTGATACTTATTCCATTCCCTAGACAATCCATCCCCTTTGTACAGATGCATGGTTAACCTGATTTTCTATTCATATAAACACAGATCCTGCACTGATGGCCTGTAGACTGGGGTTAGCCAGCCAGGACAGAAAGGAAGCAAAAGAAAGCTGCTTATTTTTCATTTGTTTTTCTTGACATATAAACACAACTTTCCCCAATATGAATTTTTGTGTCCTTCATCAAATGGAACGATTTGTAAGCTGGAGGGCATACTCTGCCTCTGTGTGGTTTTCCAGAAGCCACATTCCAAATGTAGCAGGTGGGTAAAAACTAAACACAAGCTCATTTCATTTATACTTCAAGTGAATTAAAATGTAATGAAGCTAACACAATTACGCTCCAGTCAAGTATTATGATACCCATAGAAGAGAGGACTCCGAGCATTATGAATTTTCCCTTGAGGCACAGTTTGATCAGAAAGCCACCAAGAGCCTCAGCTGGTCTTGTGGTCTCAGCCCGCCTTAAGGCCATCTTTATCTAACTGAGCCCAAACCCTGACCTTTTGCCTCTTGCAGGAGGGCTGCAATGCTGTTGGGGTACACCTTGGTCTGGCGGAGCTCCACCAGCGGAAGGAAGAAGGTCTCCAAGGTGGTGTTGAGGGACTGCAGCAAGGCAAAGCGCAGGCGGAGGCTTTCGATGGGGATGTCTGCAACAGAGCACAGAGGTCAGGAACTGCTGGAAAACACAGGGGTGGGAATGGTCCCCCAAAGGGGTCCTGAGAAGGAAGGGGCCCCCCAGTCAGAGCCTTGCACGTACTCAAGAGGCAGGAGACCTGTGGGTCAGCAGCATCGGCAGAGTCCAAGTACACTTCATGGGGGTGCAGCCGTGCAGGGGTTATTGCCAGGTGGCGGCAGAGCCGGTTGATGTACCGGACCAGGGCAACGTCCATTTCCAAGGACCACTTGCGACAAGCTTTCTGAGCGTGTCTGGCATCAAGGCACGCACACCTGAAGGAAGGAGGAGGAGTGGAAGTGGAAGAACGGCACCCACTTCATGGCCACAAATATTTCCACCAGCTGGGAGTTCCCCTACCTTTCAAAATGGAGGTCATAACCACAGGACAGAATGGCTCGCCACACACTACGGATGTCCTGCTTTGCTCGATCAATGACAAATCGGTGAAATCCGTCTAGTGTCAAATACTTCTCTTCCGGTGCTGAAATCGTTTGCCAAATAAAATAAAAATGATCAATACTAATGCATCCAGTAAATGGTACAAACCCCAGTCCCTTTGCTCCCACCATTATGGCTGCTTCCTCTGGTATCAAAAACGTGCAGTCCGGCGTGGACCTCTATTGATTTGTTTTGAAATTAAGTCCTCTCCCACGGTGGCTCTGCTGACACGAGAGCAACAAAGCAGCTTCGAAACCAGGCCTCAAAGCCACCGTGAAGCCGCACGGCCAAGCTGAGGGCCATAAGCCTAGTTACAGCTACAGTTAAGCCCCCGCCCTGTCTAGGTCAGTGCACAGCCAGGAGCTTCCTCCCCAGCCTCAAGAGAGCCCGTTGAGCTACCCTCCTGCTTCTTGGTGGGGGATTTGTCTGGGTCCTTCTCCTCAGGTTTGCTCTTCTCTGGGGATCGGGCCTTCACTGTGGGCTTCTTCTCACTCAGCGCTGTCCTGCTAAAGGAGGGAGAAGCATCATATTGGTCAACCTCTTTCTGCGAGAAGCTTAACTCGCACCACAGCGTTCAATGCCTTTTGTAATTTAGATCACAACTCCCACGTGGGTTCCTCCGAAGTAGGCCCACTGAGTTGGAAGAGAGAGGTCAAGCCTGCACCCCACCCCTGTCCAAACAGGGCAGACCAGAATGCACTAGCCACGGCAGCACAAAGCAATATTAGGGAAGAGGAAAGGGAAGGGATGTGACCAATCATGTCTTTCAAATTAACTTCAAGGAATTCCCAAATGGGGACATGGAAGGAGCCTGCTTCCTCGGATCATCACCCTGTTCACTCCTGATGGGCCCATGAAGTCACGGCTCTCACCTGACGCTGTTCAGCATGGCCTTCTCCTTGGCTGGGGGTTTTGTGACAGGTCGCTTGGTGCTCACGACTTTCACTGGGTGCTGTTCTTTGCCCCCCTTGTTGTACTTGCTCTTGTCAAACTTTGGTTTGGGGACTCCGTATTTTCTGAGGATCTTCAAAGCACAAAGGAAAGAAGGTGAGGGCCAGGACTTTAGGCCTGAAGCTCTGAGCCCCTTGGGCGGAGAATACACAGGGGAGGAGCTGTTTCGTGGTGTCAAGGGTTATACAAATCTGAGTCTGCTGTTCCACCAAGCAAGTACAGAATGCCCACCTGGGTAAGCTGATCCTCCAGAGCTTTCTTTGGGGGACGGACATGGGTGAAGAAGGTGTGCAGCAGGTTCCCGGGGGCCTGGGCATTGATCTGCTCTTTGCTCAGGTAAATCTCCACCACTTTGGTGGGCTTAGCCGGCATCAGGCTCAGCATTTGCTCAGAATGAAGGCAGCTTTTAAATATTTCTGTGAGGACTTCCCGAGCGCCTGGCACGAGCTTGTCCCCTGTGGCAAGAAATGCAATAGGATGGTAAATGGATCAGTTCAGAAGGGTTTCCTGTTATTTTATGTTTGAAACCACTTGATGTAAGCTCTGTCTTAAAAATATGGAGTAAGAGTTAGGGTTTGCTTGCATCAAGAAATTTAAGAGCTCTCCTTTGTGGAGCTGTCTGGCACTGTTAACATTCAAGGCTAAAGCAGACACAACTTATTGTGACTGGATAGCTCCAAGATCCCTGGCATTCTTTGGTTCTATGAAGTCCACTGGATCCTCATCTTCCACTCGCTCCAATGAAATAAAGCTTGCTTTGTCCTCCTCCCTCACACGTGTTGTGTGTACGAGGCACCTGTAAAGGTGGAACACACACACCTTTGATGGTTTTGTCACTGAAGTAGTCCTCCAGCGCAGGGCTCCCTTGGGTATCAAACAAACTCTGATTCACTGTCGAGACAGTTAAAATCTCTTCAGTGGACATTTCCATGAGTTCGTCTTCTCCGTCCAGAGTTGACAAACCAATCAGATCGCTACTGTTAAATAAACTAGCCCGGATCTTTTCGATCTTGGCCCGGGACCGTATCTGCATTAAAGGAAACAAAGACAAGGGTGATTTTGAAGCAAGGTTTGGCAAGTCAAATCGGGGACAATCTTAACCTACAGCAAAACATTGTACCACATCTTAGAGGAAATCAATTCATTCCAGCCTCATTTTCCTTTCAAGAGCTTATTTTATAAGAAGCAGAGAAGAGTCGCAGAGCTGGCATAGGAGACATTTTATTCAGAAAAGGCTGTTTCTAACAGATTAATCTTTCCAGAGTGCCACTTTACTTTCTTGTCTGAAATATCTGCCAAATCTCCAGTAATCAGCAACAGACAAGACTTTCATTTGGTTTGGATACCCATCCAAAGACGCGAGATGTTCCTCTTTCCCTTCCTTTCCCTTTCTGCTGCAACGCACAGGCCTGACAGCAGGAAATTGGCCCCGGAGCAGCAGGAAGATTCATCCGCAGCTCTTCAATCAAATCGTCTTAAGCACCACTCGCCAGATCCTCACACAGAGAATGGCTGGCTTTTGTCTCGGGCGCATGTTCTCCAAAAGCCCTTACCTCCACCACAGCGAAGCCCTTGATGGGTCTGGATGGGACCGTCTGACTGCCGAGCGACGTGACTGTGTACATAGACCCCACGTCAGATGCTGAAGCTGTCTCCCCGTTATCCAACTGCTCCCCAAGGCTGCCCAGGCTGCCCAGGCTCCCGGTGCTGCAGAGCGACAGGTCTAAACTCTCCTGACTGGAGACCACGTGCGGCTCCAGCAAGCTGGGTGGGACAGCTACCTCCAGGCCGGCTTGAAACTGGTCCACAGAGATATCGCTAATGGTCCGGGAGATGCCCTGCGAGCTACACAGGGAGGCCTGGCTAGTGGAGGCAGAAGCACTGACACTCATGGCTGGAGTGACGCTGCTGGAACTGCTGATGTCCAGGCTGTCCACACTGCTGGACACCACTGGCTTGTCCAGCTCAGTCCGACACTCCCCACCCTCCGCTTTGTCCTTGGCTTTCTTAGGCTCCTGCTCCTGCACTGGGATATAGATCTCGTCTTTGAAGACGCCACCGTGAGCGTTGCAGGCCTTGCGGATGGCGCTCCGCACAACCCCTTCTTCCAGGTGTGTGGGGATCCCCGAAATCACCAGCAAGCGGTTGTGAGCTGTTGCCCCGACCAGGGCCTGGCACGCATCCGCCACAGCATCGTTGGTCACACCCAGCCCCTGAGGGTCCTTCCTGGTCAGGTGCCGAAGGATGATAAGCAAGGTGAGTGCCCGATGGAACCACAACATGTCCTCTGGCTTACTCCCACCAATGCTCAGCAGGGCAGGGTCCGTGTCGGCCGTGCGGGATGAAGACCGTTTCCCTGAAGTCGAGCTCTTCTCTCGTTTCATTTTCACCTTCTTCCTCTTTGAGAGAAGACTGGGGCTCTGAGGAGTCTGCCCAGGAGAGGAGGAAGAGGAGGAGGAGGAATCGCTTAGATTCGGGCCGCTGGTTGATGACATCACGTTGGTGGTGATGCCCATATTGACTGGCAAGGTCACTTCGGCCACAGCCAGGCAGACCTCCATTAGTGCATGGAAATAAGTAGAAAACCTGCCTTGGTCAGCTCCCCCCACCCCAGATCCACCACAGGCATTTCCAGACACCCAGCTTTGGGTTTCTTCGTCATACAGCTTGTGCAGCTCTGACTGGAGAGCCATCAGCATGGCCAGGCAAGGGTTGAGCTGGAGTGCGATGGAGGAGGACAAGCCTGTGGGGTTCTTCCGCTGCTCTAGGCTGTGTATTTTGCGAAGCAGTTCAGCCAGGAGGTGAAAAAGCAGTTCCTTCACGCAGGGGGCCATGCTGGTTGTCCACAGAAAGTTCCCTAGAAGTATTGAAAGAGGATTGTGGGACTCAGATGTTTTTAAAGTTCAGTTGGAGGGAGAGATCTTTTAGCAGCTTGTTAAGCCATACTTCAACCTTTTAACCAGTATAAGCACCATCTCTGGCTATAGTGAGACTCAAGGCTGGGAAACTAGCACACTGCTCTTAACTAGAACCCAAACTATGTTTAGCTCCAGCAACTGAGAGGTGCTGTACCTCTGACCTCGTGAACCTTCCAGGAGCCCAAAGGGCGTTGTGGAAGAGGCCATGACTAGAAGTGGACACCTTTGCAATGCAGATTCCTTGGACAGCATGAGATGGATCACTCTGCCAACAACAACAAGGTGGCCAAATCTTTTTCACCCAGACCAACACCCAGGGCCTAAATCTTCCATGCTGCAAATTTCTCTTCATGTCGTTTTTGTCTGGTTTCTGTTAGAGCAGTGGAATTGTCCCATTGCTGCAGTTTTTCAAGGAGCGTAATATCCTCCAAATCTACACGTTCCCTCCCTCCTGGCTATGAAATGTGCTACAAGCTGCTCTCCTCTCACCTAGAATTTCCACCACTTGCAGGAGAACCGAGGTGGGGATCGCATCTGGCTCCTCGTCGGATCTCCCATCGCCCTCCTCCTGCTTCCAGCTAAGCAGCTGCTCTGCGAACGCTACGGCCAGGGGGAATTCCAGCGGAAGGGAATGCAGAACCAACACCGCACCGGGAGGGGGGGACACGCCTTGAATGGAGACCCACAGAAGGAGAACAGCTTATTTGTAGGATTCAGACTCAGACTGGTGTCTCTGTGTACATTATTTATATAAGAGGAGACTAATCAAAAGCCAAAATATATGACGCAAAGAAAAAAGTAAAAAACCAGCACCCAGCACCTTTTCTTATGCCAAAGCGATTTGGAATTCTGAAAAGGACAAGGCTTCTCATCATTCACAACATTACTGGAAAGTCTGGATAAACTAAAGTAGCTCGGTTGGTACCTGAGCTCCAACTACACAAGACTCAGCTGCATTCAAAACATGCTCCTGACTTCTGACTCAACTCTAGATGTACCGGAACTGAAGGTCTCAGAATTTCTGGCCAGCTTGTAACAATGATTCTAACGTTTTGGTTTTAAATCATACCCAGTTTGATGTGGACCTTGTCTGTCGAGATGATGACCGAAGGATATTGGTTGGTCGTGGGGGGTGGGGTCAGGCCTGTGTTGGTAGGGGAAGCATCCCGAGGATAGCACACAGCTTCTATGAGGTTCAGCTGGCCGTTCTTCTTGACCTTGTGGCCCAGGCCGTACAGCAAAATCCGGGCCCAGGGGGCCTTGTACAGGGAGGAGCTGGAAAAGACAAGGACATGTTGGCCAGCAACCATCAGGCACGCCGCGTTATAATTCTCCTTTCCGGTGTCCAGTTGAAGAGGGTTAGTGTGGGAGGGGGAAATCAGTATTTCAGAAGGATCTCTGCTACGGACACTTACTCTTTACGGAATCCAGACTGACTTTCCTTACAGGACACAATTACAAAGGCAGAACCAGGAAAATGGACGTCCATGTTTACTTTGGATTCAGAAATGGGAAACTCTTCTGATGGGAACTGCTCAGGAGCATTCTGAAACCAAAAACCAAAGCAGTGTGCTGGAGCATTTCAAAACTTTCTCAGATTGACTACAAACTAAATAATTATTGCATCACACCAGGCCACTTAATGAGCAGGGGGAGGGAAAGTGAGCGAGTGCCCGATAATGTTGAGATTGCAAGGCCAGTACTGGCTCCGTGGTCAGTAGATGGCCTTGTCTTTCCTTACTGACTTGCCTGCAGGAAGAAGCAGATCTGTTTCGTCAGGTCGAGCAAGCTTTCCTCTCCCTGGTGCCAGGTCCGAGCGATGGCGATGGTGAGCCATTCTTGGACCGTCTGGGCATTGCCCTGGTAGAAGAGGTCAGTGACCGAGCAATTCTGAGAATGTATGGAGTGCTGGAGGGACTGGGCCAGAAGGATGGAGGTGGAGCTGATGGTACCATCTGGTCAAGAAAAAGAAAAACGTCCAGCTCAACTCTCTTATCTTTCAGTGACCATTTTCCCTTATGAAAATAAAGAGGTGGAGTTTGTTGTTAGATCAAATCAGCCTTGGGTTCATGGCTGTTGCCCAGCCATCGCCGAGACCACTCTCTTCAAATAAGCAGGCACATTCATGGGCAAGGACACAAACAGCCATTCACCCACTCAGTGAAGCCTTCTATACAGTGCTGAAAATACTGAAAGGAGATGGTGTTACCAGGAAGGGGTGGTGCCAGAAGCTGATTGGAGAGCAGCTGGAGATGTTCCAGAGTGATGTCCCGGATACTGAAGAGCTGAGTGAACATGTGAGGCGTTTTAGGGGCAAAAATGTTGAGCAGAGCCATCCGGCAATACAGGCGAGCGAGCACAGCTTCGCAGCGTAGCAGTTCTCTGCCGAAGGAGAAATGGAGAAGCAGCATTTTTCAAGGTGCTCAAATACAACTTCAGCATCAGCTGCAGTGCTCAGAAGCATAAGACTGCCAGCGGATCTACGCAGCCAGAATTGCACATTATAATGGATATTTTGATGCTGTCAGGGAACAACTACTCACCATCAACATTAATGGGTACCTAACTATATTTAATAAACACTAATTTACAAAGGGTGGTTTGGTGAGCTGCAGTTGCTGTCTTACCTTCGAAACATAAGTGGACATTGTTATGGCCCTTTACTAGAGGCTGCTATAATTTAGTCAGCATTGGTTACAGCTGCTGGTTACATGAAGCATTAAGACGCTGGGCATGGCAAAGGCAACCCTGCACAGACGGCCTTTCTACTGACCGTCATCTCCACTTACCTGTGAATCTGAATGTTTGAATTGTCCAGAGAAACCAGCCCATTTGTTGCTGTCCTCCTGTACCCGGCAGGCGGTCGCTCGAGCATGTCAATTGGATACCAATATCTGACCAAGACCCCTTCGCTCCTGAGATAAGTCTCTACTTGCACCAGTTCATTCACCTGAAATGACAAACTCCACCATTGCCCAAGAACTTTGGGAGCTTTGCGCAGCGTGTTAGCAGAGCTCCAAAGATGTTCCCTCCCAGCTTAAATGAAGATTCTACTTGCCGAATCTACATCCAGAACAACTCCATGGAGCCCAAAGGTCTTCAGCATCCCACGGATTGCAAACTTTGGCAGTGCAGTTCCTACGGCGTTGGTGGCCATGTTATTGCTATCTGGGCAGCGGGTCACAACAGTGAGACCTGGAGCCAGGAGAAAGGTAGCTTTACCGCCATGGCCTTCTGCAAGCAGCAGCCAAGCTTCCCCCGCTGAGTCCCTGGTGTCCAGGAGGACAAGTGCTAGTGACCCGGGTCTGTTAGCAAACCATGTGGAATGGGCCAGTATCAAGCCTCTGAAGTTGGCCAACGCAAGAAACAAGAACCACAAGAACAACAAAGAACTGCTGGTAGGGTAATGTAACAGAATTTTGGAAGAATGCCGAAGCAATTCTCCGATCAACTTATACCTAGTGTGATTAAGGCAGAGTTACTCAGAAGCTCTTTCTCATGTTCTGCCCTTCCCAAGACTAGGGAATCTCTTCTCTCAGTCCTGCTCCCTCCTTCGTGTTCCCAGCCCTGTCAGACATTCCCTCACAGCCAGCTCCCACAGGTCTCCCTGCCGTTCTCCTGGTAGTTACCATCAGCAACTTGGCTCTGGCTACTCTCTTTCTTTGCTCTGTTGCTTCGTAGAGTAGCAGGGGCTGAGGGGTAGGAGGCCGGCATCGGCGGGTTGGGAGCCATAAGAATGGCTGGGTAACTGTTGCTTAGTTTTCCTGTGTAGGGCATGCTAAGCACATCCCAACTGCGACCTCACATGTCAGCTTCTAGGTGTGAACTTCCCACTCAAGCAGAGCTTCAGCTGCTTTTCAGGTGGAGCATTGGCTCTTTTCCACTGAGCCATCAAGTGGGCAGAGATGAAGGAAGCCTTTGTGGGAGCCCGCAAAAAGCTGAAGCCAAAAACCTCCTCCTGATCCCAACTCCCAAAGCAGTTGTACCTTTTCGAACTTTATCGATGGTGAACTTGTTGGCTTCGTCTTTGATATCCTCAATTGTGGGAAGATATAGGTCACGAGGGATACCCCCATTTTCCTCATAGAGGAACTCTACGGTTTGCCGGGCTATATCAACCATTCCTGAAATGCAAGTCAGCCTATGGATTAGCCTTCAGTCAAAGATCAGTAACTGGTTCAGCAGGCCAAGGGATAACTGGCAGTCAGATTTCTCAAGCTATGGTGACACCACCTGGCCCTCCTGTCCAGAATCTCTGTCAGATGTGCAAAACCTTTCATGAAACTTCACGAGCACCCGTGAAAAAGGAGGAATAGACACAAAAGCAAAGGCTGCCAACCAAGGCAATCAATGGGTTAGAAACAGGTGCCAAGTTCCAAAGAGAAATATTCTACATTTCCAAAAAGCATACCTAACTGTAAAGCTCCCTTAATTTGATCCAAGCCGGATTTCCTCTCAGCTTCGTTGCGGAAGCGCCTCCTAATTGTGGGGAACACCTTGGTCTCCCAGGCTTTAACAAGCAAGGCATAGTGATCCTCCTGCAGGGGGAAGGCAAAGGTTAGCTCAGGGGCAGAAGGGCCAGCAAGACGTCCAGCCGCCCTAGAAATCGGCGTTTCACAGGAACGAGGACAGAACGGCTGATCCTTCACCTTAACAGCAAATCCACACAGCTCACTTTGACTCAGAAATCGAAGAGCGCAGGAACACTCCTATTCTTCACAGATACAAATGGACACAAATTCCAGCGAAAAAGACTAGAGAACCTGTATCAGGTGCTGATCTGACTCCCCTTGGGGTGCCCCCTAGAAAGAAGGATGCAGGCTCCAAGAGAGAAGGTTGGCACAAAAATATAAAGTTAGATGCTGCTGCTGTTAGTGGGAGCCATAAAGTAAAAAGGTTTAGGAGCAGAAAAGTCCAGGGAGGAGTTTCCAGGCAGAGACAGCTGCTTGCAAGCTAATTGTCAGAGGTTTGACACGATTTGAGGAAAACTGTTGGATTTCTCTGGGCAATTAGGGAGAATCTAAAATATTTCTAGCTTGGAAGCTTTTCACCTTGGAATGATGTGACGATACCAGTGAGAATGATGTTTTACAGGCCTGAGGGGCTCAGTGGACTTTGCTGCCAAGAGAGCGAGCTGCGAATGTCTTAGCTTGTGAGCCAAACATCCTTGTAAGGGGCTGAGTGGTGCATCGCTGCTCCAGGATGTGACCGCTCATTTTGCTTACCCGCGGGACGTCGTCGTCGTCGTCATCATCGCTTTCATCATCTGCAATGGGAGGGGGGTGAGGATCTGGACCTGACATGATGAAGTTCTCATAGCTGCGTTCCATTTTGTAATGACAAGAGGAGTCACTGTCATATTCTGTCACAGAACAAAGAGAGAGATGTGGTAGAGCATTAAGAGAGAATTTGTTCTGGAAGACGAGGGTGACAGGAACGGAGAATAAAATTCACTCTACAGATTACTTTTTGGCCATGCTGGTTAGCAGTTCTGGAGCTGCAGTCCAAAGCACCAGGCTGGGAATTAAGGTAACTCTGAAATGGATCCGACAAGATACCGAAACCTTGAGTTCAAACCATTGCAAGTCTTGAAAAAACATGAAGCTCCATCTATAAAGAATATTCAAACCAGCTTTAAAATAGTCCTAACTATCATTACTTCCCCTCAAGGAAAATTGTAGATTGTGAAATTGAGAGAATACAGGAAATTCCCTGCTAGAGATTATTGACAGAAGTACAATTAACAGAATCCTTATAGACACAACGTAGGCCTGGCAGTGAACCTGGATTATGTCCACACTGCAGACATAACCCAAATAAAAAAGACTGGGAGACCAATATATTTTGATTACTCATTGATAAAGTGGGATACTCTGCTTCCAGAATTCATGTGGAAGTAAAAGGAAACGGTTCAAAATTCTTTTATAATCTAAGAATGTTGAAAAAGGCAACAATTCTCTTGGGATCTTCTACCGCTGCCTGGTCTTCAGAATTTCCCCCAGAATTCCACCAAGAATTTTTTTTTCTGGCCTTATTTTTATTCTGCTTTGTAAGGGAGCCAATCAAGGGGAGGGAGTGGACAGCCCAGAGCAGGCAAAGGTGACTCTTACGTTGCTGAGCAGTGGCCACAGCTGCGATCCTGCAAGGGGGCCCGTGAGTCCCGGGATCAGAAGCCGTGCTGGTGCCGGCATCGTTGTCACTGTCGGAAGCCATGGCAAAAGGCAGCACTTCGAAGTTGGCACTAATTTCTTCTGCCAGGTCAATGCAGAGGTCGGCGGCGTTTCGGTGAGCTTGTCCTTCCACGTAGGCAAACTGATGGGACCCAAAATTGGCTCGGACTTTGGTATTCTAGGAGGAAACAAGGACAAAGGAAGAGGAGCTCATCTCATGTAGAGTTACAGTGCTGGGCTCTGTGATGTTCTTGCTCTCGTTGGGGAAATATTTCAGAATTTTTTTATAAAGTAACTGAGAGAATGGAAAAAGGTATCGTGTCGAATAAAAAGTTGCTCTGCTGGGTGATGTACAAAAGTTATTTTCAGACCTGCTTTTCCCTTGGTCAAGATTTTCAGAACAAGGCAAAAGAGTTCTTACCCTCAATCTACATTACTCAGCAGGGAGAGACGATGGCACTCCACATGGCCACAGATGACCTCTAAAATGTTTGCTCCATACATACAACATTGACATTAAGGTCCAGGGCTCAGCCTTGGTGAATCTGAACAGGAAGAGAGGTTTGATGTTTAACCTGCCTTCTTCTGGATATGGACCACTGGCCACATTCCTCCAGACACATCTTCCAGATAGGGCCCCAGCCGCTGTCCACAGTACGTAAAATAGACTCTGCCTTTGGCCGGCTGTCCTGGAGGAGGAGGCGTACCTTCTGTCCGTTCCCAGCCAATGCCTGCAACATCACCTAGGGAAAAGGCCAAGAGACTAGAGAGGGACTCAGTGGTGGCCGCCTGCTCCTCCATGACTGTTGAAGGATGTTTGCTGCTTAGCAACAGCCAAACGGAGACTTACCAGGAGAGAGGGCCACGTCCAGGCGCACGCTCTTCCACTGCAGCAAACTGGAACCGTTGTAGTGAACAGCTCGCCCGTTGCTGAAAATGTGTGAAGAAAGGAGCAAATCATTCACTGAGGAAGCTGTTGCTTCCTCTTTTCTAGAGTATCTGAGGCTCAGTAGCTAAAAATGCCGGCAGGCAAACCCACGTATTAGTTATCAGGACCAGGACAAAGTAATGTCTTAACTAACCAACACCAAACACACGCTCAGAAAGCCAGTCTATCTCATTTGGGGATCCTTGTTGTTGACACAGAGCTGTCCTGTTTTACTTAATTTCTCCTGCAACAGATACCAACACTGGGCTCCAGTTTTCAAGCACACACATCCAAAACCTACTTGTGGAAGAGGCAAGTGCCCACAGGGTTTGTCCAGGCTCCATCACGCTTCTCAGCTTCAGTGGCAAAGCCAAACGAGACAATTGGTCCTGTATCATCATCTGCATCTCCATAGGACACAATTTCAATCTCCCAATAGAAAGATGGTGCCTGGGAAAAGAATGTCTGCAGGTGACCCAAGGGCTTCACTGGTGTCTTCCAGAACTGCATCTATGCCCACTATGAATTCTCACCTGGACCGGAACTGCTGACGTGGCATAAATGAAGGTGCCCCGAGGAAGCCCTCCGCCTGCACTGGGATCCGCAAGGAAGGTCACAGCGGTGAGATGTGAGGAGAACATGCAGGCTCGCACAGGTGGAAAGACCCTTGAAGGGCTCCAGGTGATTTCTTTAGGCTGAACCAAGAAGACAGGGAACTGCATTTAATTATACCTGTCATGATTATGATTTGTGACCACAACATACAAGGAACTGTACTCTGGGCCAGTGGCAGTCTTGAATCAAAAGAGTGTGTGACGGTTTACGGCCTGAGGTTTGACTTTGCAGTGGCGCAAAGAAGATGCTGGTCAATCTCTTGCTTTATATTTACCTGTCTTCGGTCTGCCTGAAGAGGGGGTGGCGGTGGACGAGCGCTATCACGGTACAGCATCCGTAACCTTTCGCACTGTACTTCTACAACAAGGAGTCGCTCCCCTAGAGGATTGCAAATAAAGCCAGCAAGCCAGTAAGAATGGCTCTGAAGCTACGTTTTTTAGTATCAGGTGCTACTAAATCTCACAACCAAGTCCTGGTCAGCCAACAAAGACAAGTGGTTCCTAGCTGCTTTTTCCCAGCTTGTCCTTCACGTAATTAAGGAGGGCGCCAAAGGTTACCTCATCCTTCTTGGCCTTCATAACTACCCAGGAAACTAGGGAAGGCTGAGAATGTCAAACCAGCCTGGTACTCTTCCAGTCCAGGAGGGATTTGAACTGGGATCTCTACAGTCCAATCCTGTTTTTTTACCCACAGTATTTTCCAGGTAGCCTCTTCTCTGCTCACTTCACAATAATATTTAAGGCTTATTTCTCTGACAGTAAGCAATTATGTAATAATAATAATAACAACAACAACAACAATAATAATAATAATAAAATTATTAATATGTATTAATAATGTGCAATCAACCATTATATGCAATAATCATATAATTCAGTAGCAAGCTGTTCTTGGATCAGTTCTTCCTTCCCACAGAAAGCCTGACCAGTGTTTATGCCCTCGGGGGCGGGGGGCGGGTTGTTAAAGAAATCCCTCCATGAAGCCCCAGAGGAGGTAGGTGGAAGCATAACCATCAGAAATGCCACAGGCTACTCCAACATCCCAGCTGCTCTGCAACTGGATCCTACACCTGTCAGAAGTTTTTAAACATGGACATTCCTGATTAGTATGGGTTGGCCATGGATGCTCCAGACTAGCCAAACCCAGGTGGTACCTTTTTTCCAGCCCAAATGCAACCCAAGCCGCAGCATCAACGCGTGGCTTGGTCTTCTCCTCTTCCTAAGAACAGCTGACTTCTTCCCAGCTCTGAAAAGAAGACTCAGCTCTTACCAGGGCTGCATTCCTGGGCCACAAGGTTGAGGACTTCCACAGCAGCTGGACACTGCTGGATAAATTCTTCACAGAAGGAGCTGTCCTCCAATAGCTGTGCCATCACCAGACATGCTCTTGGGGTAGGGGGGACAGTCAGAGAGAGGAGAGGAAAAAGCAAGCACATCTTTAAAAGCTCTCTGGAGTGTTCAACAAGTTCTAGAGACCACCATGCTGGTAAAAACAAGCATCAAGGAAAGGGAGCTCTGGCTTCCAGGTTGGGCTACCCAGTTTCATTGCCCACTAGGTCTCAAAGAAAAATGGTTGGGTAATTTTGCTTGCTGGAAAGCACATCCAGCAGAAGGGGCTTCCCTCAAACCCTATCAAGTGAATTAACTACTCCAGGCAAGCAGGCATGGGGAACGGCCAGACCGCCTCACTGCTGGGCCTTCTGACAACAAGTCAGAATGACAGAGCCCTCACAGAACTCTAGCTTGATCTCAGCCACCAGATCCATCCCCACCCACCTGGTTCGGATTTCAGCCAGGAGTCGGACCACCGCCATTACTGGAGTCGAGCCGTCTCCTGTTGCAGGAAGCGAGGTATGAATAGAGAGACTCCCCTCCTGAGGAAGCAACATGGACTGGACTGCTTGTACTACCTTCTCAGTAATGGACAGTTTCTGCAGAGGCAGTGCCTGATGGGAGTGGAGGGGGCATGGTAAAAGTAAAAAATCAAGTCATTAGTTTCTGGAAAATGAAGGAAGGACCTGGAGTGACCGGGTCTCATTATGATAAAGACATTATCATAAAGCAGAAATGAAAATTTGCCAACCAACAAGAAGAATCAAGGTAGCTTGACACTTTCAGTGATCTACTATAGTTGATTTTCAAAATGCTTTCTTTATATATGGAAAACTCATAATTCTTTAGCCCAATTAGTTTTGGAACTGGCCTCTTTAATGATTTAAACTGTTGAGCTAACAGTTTAGACTGAAAATGGAAACTACATCTTAAATTTAAACATTCACTCTCTTACACACTCTGTGCTGGGTGTTTAAATGAACTCACCTCTGATCTCGGAACACAGAGCCTCGATAAAGGAACTGTTAAAACGTCTGAGGCCTGGGAGGACTTTCTACAGTCTATATTCATAGGTGGAAATTTGACCGTTGCAATAGCTTCCTGTTCGTTAATAGATGCCACCACTCCAATACTTCTGGCTATTCCCCTACCCAACACCTATTAACACAGGGAAGAGAACATTGATGAATACATTGAAGATTCATCCAAGGCTCCCAAATAATTACATACTAAGATTGCAGGGACAATATGATGGCCAAAACAGATGATAGCAAAAATGTAAGTAACAATGGACTGTCTCTACAGAATTTGATGATTTGATGAGCAGGGGGCAAAAACAAAACACGAGCACAGGCGCCCACCTGAACTTCAGAGCCAATTTTGATGGTCTCCTTGAAGCCACCAAGGGCACACAATGCAGCTACTGCTTGGCGAGCAATCCTCTGAAGCTTGGCAAGTTTCCTTCCATTGCTGCTGCCATTCTCCAAGATACTCTCAGCGTATTTTCCCAGCTGGGGAATATACATCAGAGCACGAGACAAGACCTGTAAACAGAAACAGACCCAAACTTGTGGACACATTGAAGCTGTCTTCCTCTCAAGACCATTGGCCACATATAATATGTATGAATCAAATCTGAATGGAACGAAAAACTGATGCCACGTTTCATGTATTAGGCATCACCAGGTTATACTAAACTAATTCATTCAGAGGGTCCTTTTTATGAAAATGCTGCTATTTCAGACTCTAAACATTTTAAACGCTTCACTGTGGTTTCACACCATCGTGAGGTGCTGAGAGGGATGCCAGCTGGCTGCAGAGAAAGAACACGGCCCTCCAAGGCAACCCTGAGTCGTGCTACCCTGGGGGTCCAGAGGAAGGATCAAAATGAACTTCTGATGCCTGGTGGATGCTTGGTCTTCCTCTCAGCATGAACCAGCAAAGGCAGGAAGCATTCTTAAAGCCTGAGAGCTGGATGCCCTTAGTTTCCAGCAGCTACAGAAGGGCAAGCTTGGACTGGAACAGAAAACCAGGACAGGGCGACAGAGAGACACGCAAGGCTGTGAGCCACTCCCCAGCTTACTTTTTCAGCTGTGGTTGTCCATATCTGAGCTGCGTTAGACTCAGGTGCCATGAGCAAGCTGTGAAGCAGAGCGATCACCTCTGCTGCCATGCTGTTGGCCACATGCCCACTGATGAAGGGTCGTACAGGATCAGTTCTGTTTTAAAAGATGGGAGTTAGACGATCTAGGACAGCCCTGCTCCAAGAGTCCCACAAACCACCTGCTCACCACTAGCTTCGTGGCTTCTGAGCGTTACCAAAGTAGAGCCGACCGCAGTGAGTCAGTCTGCAAACCTAATTCCAATGAGCCCCTGCCAGGTCTTCTGAAGATCAGACAGACGTCAGCCTACCTGGCCAGCTCTGAATTCCGCTCCCTGCAGATGGAGGTTTGTGCAGTTTTCTTTTTGTCCCCGGTCGAGAGGCCACCGGTGTTTTCAGGACTGACCGTTTCTACCGGTGGCCCCACACTCACGATTAGCCCGGACTGTGCCCACTTGGTGGCCTTCCGCAAAGCCGCAGCCGCCTCCTCCGTAATCACTTC